CCCCCGAGAACTGATTGCATAAAATCCTTCCTTTGAATTACGGGTAAGTCCTGTCAGTAACAGCTCTAGAGAGGGACAGAATTAATGCTCCCATTTTCCTCACTCACACTGTAACTTTTGTGTTCCCACATGTGCTGGACTCTGTTGTGTTGTTGATCAGCCAATGTACAGTTAGTCTAACAACTGACTTGCTGTACGTGCTGCGACCAACTATATGTACAGAATACAATTACACAGCCCAATGGCCATTTGTCTGTTGAGCTGACTGCCAGATGTTTGGGAATCCCTGACAAAAGATGAAGTTATGCTTTTACCACCCAGGCACAAATTCTGTGTGGATGTATCTGAGGACATGCAGACACAATACAGGAGCTGTAGGTTAAACCAAACTCCGAGAAAGAGGAAGCAGGCACTGGCCTGTATGCCAGGGGTGCCCATCGCTGTTCCTCTTTGGCTAGACACAGCCACAGATGTCCACTCAAGACACAAAGCTGCTCTGAAAGTCTGAATCAGGCTTCCCTCCCACGTGCATTTCTGACATTTCAGGGGAACATAGTTGGTACAAGTCCCATGTCCCAAAGTGTCATTAAACATCTACTCTCTTTGTTACAATCTATCAGCCTCTCACATTCCCACCCCCAGCCCAAAAAGCAACTATTTTATGATGGAAAAAAGTACGTCTGAAAGTTTAGAGATGTTGAAGAGTCCCCAGGATCTGGCAGCACCATCATGGTCCCCCAAAGGAAGGATTATTTTGGAGGCAGATGCCAGCTGCCTTTCTGGACCTTTGCTCCTTGGTGCTTCATTATGCTGGGGAATCCTTGTGGCCCAAGGTACACAGAGCCCACGAGGAGATGATCCTTACTTGCTCCTCTCCCCACACAGACAAAACCATCCTGTTACTGCACCCTACCCACTGAATTGCTGCTCAGGGTAGACCTCACTGAACAGAATATTATCATCTCACTAATCAGAGACATTTTAACTGCACTCAAACTGCTTCTGCCAAAATTCAGCTTTGGTGACTAAGAGTCTTAAAAAAAACCCCAATTTTTCTTTGCTCCAACCCATTCCTGACTCAAAACACTAATCCCCTTTGTGCCTTTCCTCCAGAACCAGTCCCAACCTGCAGCCCCTTCCGTCTGGTAAAAAAACATCTGCAAGCTTCGCTTAAAAAGCAGCAAAAAGCCCCATGAGGGTGCATTGGAAAAGAGCACCTTTTCCTCCTGTCCCGTGGCAGGGCTGGCGCAGGGAGCTGCCTGCAGGGTCTGCCTTAGGATGGGGCAGAAAGAGCTTCTGTGCACTTGAAGGACGTTGTAGTGTGTCCCCCCCCCTCTGCCCCCCCTACTGTACTTACAGTCCACTGGATTGACAAGGATATTGTAAAACCCCCATGGGATTACACATTCCCTCTTCAAGGAGGAGTTTTGATTGGTCTGCACAAAAATCTTTTGCAGTTCTTAAAAATAAACTAGAGAAAAAGCTAGTTCTCAAACATTACACAACTGAAAACTATCACACAAAACCCAAACATTATTTTGAGCAACATATTTAAACAGGTTTTGATTTCCATTTGTTCAGAAGCTTTGTTTTTATATATTTAAATCCAGAAAGGATCCTCCTCCATAAAAGCCCTTGCTCATGTCTGGTTCTAAGCAGGTTTCTTACGTTTCTTCTAAGCAGGTTTCTTCTAAGTTTCTTACGTAACTATTATGATAATCACAAGGCTAGCAGCTGCTTATGCTTCTTTTGATTTTCTTCTTGCTCTTCCTCCCCTCCAAGCAGGGGATGAGATGGGTTAAGGAAGTCACAAGGGCTATCTGAGTCCTGTCTATAGCTTCTGGGAATAAACTGCATTTAGAGCAGCAATTCAGGGACCAACAGAAGGTTGACCACAACTACCCTACTTGAAATCTGACTCTGTTCCTTACAAGTTTTCAGTTTGTCGGGACATTTAGAAACAGCACTAAGATCTTCATTATGCTCATTTGGGCACTGACAGTTTTGCTAGCAGCAGTCTCTCAGGGTTTAAGGATCTGCTTTTGAACGTGCCTCGCAGCCCGTGTGGCCTGAACAGTGCCCACCATCCCAGAACCTGCAGGAGCAGGACTCTGGACTCTCTCAGCAGGCACGGATCCGCACAGGTTTACTCTCCTCTCTGCAGAACGCAGCAAAACAAGCTTGGGATGCTTGTGACAATCCCTTTATCTTAGAGCTCTGTGGCCTAAGCATTTATGCATAGCATGTCCAGTCTTACCATGAACAAGTTTTCCAACATCACAGATTGTCACAATCACCTCCACGAAGAGCAAGGATTAATTATTTGATGAAGTAGATTACATGCACCAAACTAACACAGAGGGTTGGGTGATCAGCTCACTGAATCGACAGATGATGTGTTTTGGTTTTTCAGTTGTTTTTTTTTTTTTAAAACAAGTCTTGAAGCACAGGGAAGTTCCTGAGAGCACATGATATGCCAGTATTTAAATCGAATAATCTTTAATGGGTCAGTTTGCCTCAGGCAAACTCACAGAAAGGCCAGTGTAGGCTGCAGCCATTTAAAGGCTTACAACAGAAGCATGCAGAGTTCTATTAAACATAGCCTTTACAAAAATTCCTTGCATAGTATTTCAAAATTGGTCTAGAAGTCACCTTACAAATTCGATTCTGAAGAATAATTACTGAGGTGATACCTTTAGGGTGATGTTTTATTGCAGCTGTGCACACATGCGCTCTCCCTCTCTCCTGGGGCCTAACAGATGATGACTGGGACATCAAATTGTCCACAGGCTCTCCTGCTTTATTAAAAAAAAAAAAGGCAAGCAGTTCTTAGAACAGAAAAGTTTGAAAACCCTTGACTGAATCCATCCTGTCTCAGGGAAGATCTGTCTACATCTGTATCAAACCTAGTAATATTTATCTAAACCATTCCTAAAAACTTCACGGAAACTCCAAAACTTTGCCACAACCATGATTACCTGAAGGCTTAATCCCCCTTAAAAATAAAAATTGTGGCCCAGCTTTTTTTTTCTTTCTGTATTTAAGCCCACAGTTTCTTAGATTATCCACCAGTTGCCAAACTCCAGAAATTGCACTTCTCTATGTTTTATGAGGAAGGTTATGAATATAACATGCTAGCAAAAATCTGGCAATAAAATACAGTTCTAAATATATTATGGACAAACCCAGCATTGACTCCCTTTTCCTAGCTCACAAACCTCATTCCTACTGCAAGTCTCAATCCTGTTTCTGAAGTAAACAGGAGATCTCTACCACTCCTAAGCTCTATAAAGAGGGAAGTATTTGTTTTTAGAAGGTGTTCTGTGAAGGAAACTGTCTTTTCCAAACAAATAGTTACAATGAAATCAACAAGAGCACCTGCAACTTCCCACCACGTTCTTAGAATGTTGGAACATTCAAAGCTCAAGTGTTAATAAATAAATAAATAAATATATATATCCTGATCATGACGCTACACGTAGTTATTTTTGTCCCGTATTCATAAGCAACATTTGCTATTCCTTTCATGCGTGGAAGGAATGGCAACTTTTCTCTTCAGAATGCACCTACTGTTAGAAGTCTGCGGTGACCTCATTAAAAGTTATTTCCGTAGCCACCAGGCTGTTTGCTTTTGAGTTACTAGCGGTTTCTCATGGAGCGGTAAGAACTCAAAATAGCTTCGCATGGGCCAAGCTCAGGCCACTGCCACCCATTTTGCTGTACTTAATGCCTATCAAAGGGCTTCCTTTTGCTCTTACTGTGTTCCCTCCTTAACCCATCTTCTGTGTCTTGACTGACAGTGGAATTAACTTGAATCAGCCCTGCCTTTCTCTGACCTAGCCACAAAGCCTAGGTCAGTCCCTGGCCTCACTAGGCCTGTACAAACTATTGCAGCCACCATCTCTCCTGGCTAACGAGCATTTGGGACACAGGGCTGGCTGAGCCATCCTGCCAGAGAGGACTTTGCTCACAGAAAGAGCAATAATTTAAGTCTCAAAAGGCCTTACTTTGCAAGCGGAACTTTCTTGTTGAGCAAAGCGTCAGCTGAGAGAGCTCATTCCAGAAGTGAAACTCAATTATCTATTATAAGCTTTGTTAATAATCCACAGGTATGCACAGAACACTTTTTTTTTTTAAAAAAAAAACTAAAATAGCCCAGAAGAGCACTGGCAATGAACTATTTGCTTAGCTATGGCTGAATCATTAGGGAACATGCACCGAGATGTCACCGCGCATTGTGTAAATCACTGCTGGAACTGCAAATGTACCTGAACTAACGTGAGCGTGCAGATAAACACCTCTGTACAGCTGTGCTGGTTGTGTTCAAACTTGTGTATTTACTCCCTGCGTTACCATGACAAAGATTCAGCGTAAAGCACCGAACAGATATCGTGTGTAGTCTGTGTCTCAGCATCTTCCTGGGTACTGCCATCAGCCAGCTGAAGGTACGGCTGTTCCCGCTGCAGCCACACCTTCTGGCTTCGGGGTACACACACGGCCCAGCACCAAACTACACGGTTAGATCACTGCCACAACGCAGCAACAATTAATCTGGGATTGAGGGAATATGCCCTCCTAATTATTATATAGACATTGTTAATTACAAGTGTTTTTTTTTTTCCCTAATGGAAATTATTCTGCTGTCACTTCACATACAAGGATTTAGCAAGGAAGAGCAGAAATAAAAGAAGCATGGTAATCATTTGTAACAATGAATTCTGCCAGCTGTACTGTGCTCACACAGAATCTATTCCTGAATATTCAAAACTCCCTACAACGGAGGAGAACCAGTTATTTTCATCTTGACATGTATCACATCACCCAGCTCTTCTCAAGTTTTAGGATTTGTATTACAAACTCTGATTTATCACAGATTTATTTGCTACTGTTCTCACTGACTGACATTCTTCCTGTAACTCTACATAATGTTAAAGCTCCCTTCTATCATACCTTCCTTAAATGGATAAAAAGCAAATCTCTTTAGAGCAATAAACAACTCCTGTTTTTGAATTCTCTTATTTATTGTACACGAGATTAGTCTTGGACCTCTACTCATTTTTAATGCCACCAAGTACAAGTCAGTGAGTGTTGCCTCCACTTTCAAATTTAGCTGCCTAACATTCAGCATTTTAATACTGTGGTATATAATATAGATATATATATAATCCACTTTTCAGTGATGCTGAGTATCTAAAATTCAGCCACTCACATAACACAGCAGCCTAACTTTATGTAGTTAAACTGAAGGAAACAAACCAACAAAAAAAAAAAAGAACAAAATTTGCAGTGACTTGTGCCGGTAAATTACAAATAGAACCATTGTACTATCCCTTCCACTTCAATTACACACTTGTCTCTGATTTTCATCAAACTCCTGCAAGAAGTATAAGTGACCTATAAAAATATTTGTGAAATGAGAAAATGAAATATTATAGTTTTGAAAAATTGTATTGATCTGTATATATATACTTCCCGATGCAGCTAAGTGCACTGGAATTTTTATCCCAGTTCTCCAGCCATCAGATCAAACAGCTTCCCTGCCAAATGTTTGTTACTCACTTTACACTCCAAACAATCAATATATAAATCAGCAGTGATCCCTCTCAAATCTACTTTTTGCATACTTCATCTCCCTTACAAGTGGTGAATCATCACAGATCTTTCCTAACATTGCTTGTTTATTCAGTAGTGTTATAATAGCACCCAATGATAACAAATGAAGTTGGTGCTTCATAGAGCAAATGTCCGTGTCCCAAAGATCTTACAGTCTTAGGAGCTTATAATCAAAACCTCAAACTCTTTTAATATGGTTGCTGGGCAGAAGAAACTGCTGATAGAAAAAAAACACATAGCAGATGGTATAGTAAACACAACTTAGTCACTCTAAAAAGCTTACATAAAGGCATTACAGCACACAGTGAGCTTGTTGCTCTTTGTCTGCAAAGCATCCACAGAAGGGCTCATAGAGCAGGAGTCCCACATCTGATTTGCTTATCTGCTGCCATCACCGGGAGAAAAATATGTCTTACCACAGCGATACCAATAACTGTGTGAGGCCACACAGAGACACTGATGTTTAGTTGTTAAGATAAGCATTTTTCCTTAATCAGTCATTCGTCCTCCTTCAAGGAAAAACAGGCAACTGGACCTGTAGTTTTTTTCCAGTATTACTTTGGAGTAGTTTGTGTAACCATATTACCATTAATGTACCGGCTTGAAAGCACCTGCTTTGGAGCAGCATCTCAATTTCCAGACAGGACAAAATTGAAAAAAGAATAAAAAAATAAGGGAAAGTTCCAGTGAGATACCAGTAGGGATAAGAGAGTGGTTGCTCCATAGATGATTACTAAAACCACAAAATTCCTAGGGAATGATGGCTTAAGGAGTCTGTAGAGAAAGGACAAGTGGCTTGCATTGGCAGAATAAACATCAACGTACTTCACACATCTATCTGCACCCTTTTTCTCTTTCCCTGCCCGTGAGTTTTTAAGGACACGGAGCTATCAGTAACAAACACCTGGAGTCCAGAAATGCTTTTTCACAAGAAACTGCCCTAGGAAAGTTACCACATGTAACTTAAATGTATTTATAATGCATCACCTGGCCATATAGCCACATTGTATCATAACTTCAATCCTCCTTATTCACATGGCCCCTGCTGTTTGTCACATTGTAAGTCACTGCATTGTATCTAGAATTAAAAAAAAAAAAAAGAAAGAAAAGGAAAGAAAAAAAAAAAAAGAAACAAACCGAAATATTTCACAGCAAATATTTCTACCTGTTCGGTAAAATGACTCCTAATGTTTTCTGTATGGAGACAAACTGAAAAACTATGAAGAAATCAGGAGTAAAATTACAAAGGATTACAAGGATTACACATGAAGCATTTAAATTGATGAGAGATTAAAAGAATCATTTGAACAGAAAAATCACAAATACAGCTCCAGAGTGAAAGTCACTGATTGGCAAGATATACAAGACTAGACAGTAAAAGAATGAAACAGTGAATGAAATCAATAGATGAAACTGTGGAATTTCCTTTGCTTGAGGAGTTAAAAACCGCAATGCATGACAAAGACTGTTAACATGGAGCCTGCAGTGATAGATGGACTAAGTCTTTACAAGTTTTCCAAACACACAGCAGAAAGCATAACGAGAAATACTAACGCAACTTCATTTAGACTTGTACTCTAAGTACTTAGAGTGCAAGTTTACTTTTATTAATCTAGTAATTTGTGGCAATTAATTAGATATCAGTTCCCTTTAAGTATAATATAGAGTACTGGCAGAGTAATAGCAAACATAGCACATGTCAATGCCGTGCTGTAAATAGAATTTCTCTTGATCTGTGCTTCCAGTCTCCGCTCGGTATCACACAACTCTAAAATCACATCTCTCACAGCAGAAGCCTGGCCCTTGCCCTCCGCTGAAGACCTTGGCATCACTCTTTCCATAGGTCTAGAATGGACGGCAAGTTTAACACTCTTAACCTCAGAAATCACCTGCGCTATACTTTCCTGCAGACTGTTAAACTGCTCTTGTAAACTCCCTAGATGTGAACTGACTTGTTTAGTGTAGTTCAGCTGTTCATTTAAAGGAATTAAAAGAGAATCTATTTTTATGGAGTCATTCCTCTCTCCTTTAGTTAACAAAGCACCTTCTTTTATTTCCTGTGATGTCCTTGTTTGCAGCACATTTTTCAGGTCTGCTATGACGTCACTGAGATCCTTCTGCTGGACGTAATGACTGGAGGCCTGTTCTTTGATGGCTTCTTGCAGATTTATTGGGCCCTTCTGTGCTTCAAGCACCAAGACTTTTAATTCTTGCAGCCTTACTCGATTTACGTAGGTGGAACCAAGAACACCTATAATGGCTCCCAGAACAGAACCAATAATAGACCAGTTCTTTGTTTTTTCAGCTCTTGTTCGCTCCTTCTCATGGCTTTCCCTTACAGCTGCGGAGAAGAGAGCAAATTTTTCTCTCTCAGATTCTTCTGCATTTAAATACGCAGCACGGTACCTCTTCTCTTCCTGCAAGAAACATAGTGATTTGGAGAAGAAGGTATAATATGAAGCTATAAAGTATATACTAAAAATTTCCCCCCACATCCCAGAACCTCAGTGCACATGAAGGAATGGAAATGAAGAACATCCATTAGTCCTGTTTCAAATATTTTCCTTTTAATGTGGGATTTTCTTTATTAATCCTACTTAAGTCAGTGAGACATAATTTTAAGTCAAAACCGAGAAATGGAAAAGATCATCAAGAATTACAGCTGGAGATCCTCTGCAAAAGAATCTGTTGATGATAGAAAAGGCTTATGAGTGGGGAAAGTCTTTCTCTCCCCATGATGTTCACTTTTTTGGCCCTGCTGCTTGCTTCTCCAAACACTACCTTTACCACATTTCTTCCTTTCAGTTCTAAAGCCCTTAAATGGGAACTGAGAATAGGACTGGTAAGGATATCTTGGGTAGGAAGCGTGTATATTCATGAGATGAACCTATTCCTCTGCCTTCTCTTTCTTACCCTGCTCACAGATAAATGTCTTCCCTTTTTCCCTTCTCATTGGCTTCAGCACGGCAGGTCCTTTTGTAAGCCATTTTATCTCAGCAAAATAGAGGAAAGTTTTCTGGTTGTCTTCCTGCAGTAAAATTCCACTGTTTTAGCAAAGTATTTGCTGGTTTTGGTGAGCCTGTCAGCTAACTGCACCTCCCAGAATTATTCTCATTCTTCCGAGCGTGTGTTGCTTTTGCATCACCAGCTTATGGACAGCAGCAGCTTGAGTTCTACCTTTCTTCATAGTCACACAGGGCTCTATTCTAAGTCTCATCCAGACAGACCTGATCCGTTATTTAGACAACTACAGCTCTCCAGTTCTTTCCTGATGTTCTATCCACTGATCCAGGAGCTCAGTTTCAGTTCAGTCATAAGTACTCACTCCTCACCTGAGCTTTGCCACAGGTGTACCTGTTTCCAGGCCTGTTCCCTGCTGTTCCTGTGGTTTTATCTGGATTTCCTGCTTTCATTTTGTCTGCTACTTTGTTTTTATCTGTGACTGATGGACTGTTAATAAACACTCTCCTGCCACCAGCCCTGTTAGGCTCATCCATCTGAGGTGCTGTAGGACTGTATCCTGTAGGTGAAGACACTGTCACTGCCCACACTGAGGTCAACCTCATCTTCTTGCTCTCATGGAGCAGCCTCATTCTTGCAGCTCTCTGACAAAAGCTTTAATGAATGGCCTGGGTGTTGCAGCCACACAGAAGGCAGCTGAGAGAGTTTTCATGGATTAACAGCCAGAAAGGAGCTTCTCTCATCACATGGAAGGTTAATTCATTGAATCCCAGCTTTTTGTTGGCTACTCATCTACAGGCCACCACTCAACTTTCTAGACTCCCTATCTTAAGCTTTGCTCTCCAAATGTACTGCCCTGTTTTAGCATTAACATAGACAATTTGCATAGCAGATCAAAGAATCTATAATAATTAACTAAAGCAAGTATCATCAGAAATGGACTTCCAGTCTGAACTGCACCAGCAAAAACCGTCACTAGTAACGGAACCAAAGCACAAAAATGTTCACTGTATTTTGCCAGTGACCCAATACCAACAAATTACCTGCAGCATCCTGTGTTCCAGAGTGGCCAGTTCTAAATACTGGGTGTCATCCCGAGACACCCTGTCTAAGCGGTCCCGAATTTCCTTCAGTTTAATTTGTTGGGCTTCTACATTTTCACGAGCCTCTCGTACTATTCCTCGAGCCACCATAAAGATATTTTCAGCCTGAGAAGAAAGAGTATTTATTTTAGAGACTTATTACCAGACAGATCTAAATAACTACATATACTTTTTTGGGGTGGAAAAAAACCCAACAAAACAAACCACACTCCATTTCAATCTAAGGGATAAGCTATATTTACTAATGTGCACAGACCTGAACACTCACAGCATCTACATAAACAGTTAAAGCAGTAAAAAGACACGACTGTCCTTGGAGGCTCTTTTCTTGCTTCACAGCCAGTGTTTATACTTCATAGAGCTTAACTCATGATTTTAAATTTCCAAAATCTCTGTGTTTACCTCTGTCACTTTTCCCTGAGCCTCTCGAACTTCATTAATTCCAACAAATTCTTCGTATCTGTCCCACCAACTCTTGCCTGTTGCAGAAATTTTTTGAAGAGAGGTTTTTCCCATAACGGTCCCAGCTTCTGTCAGCCGATTAATCAGACCCATGGCCATTTCCATCGCCGACTTGGCTTCAGGCCTCTTCGGTGATGGCGAGCAGTAAGTCCGCACTATGTGTAAATTAATTTTTGGACTCCACTTTATCAAAGAATGGTGATACTGCAGACCACAGGACACCGAGGACACACTTGACTTGTATTTCATTGGCCCCATGTCTTGAATTTAATCACTAAATAAAAGTGCTACAAGGATGAAGAAGAAGAAGAAAAGTTATTGAACTATGGCTGACTAATATCTCTTAAAACCACATGTCTATCAAAACCAACAAAATTCAAGAATAGCTAAACCATCAGAAGTTCTATACCACTACTTACCAAGAGAACTTTCCACAATTTTCAACAAACTGCAGTTCTGCCCCAGATTCCTGCTTTTCTGCTTTTAGTAAGTACTCCCACCATGCTTCTGGATTACTAATTCACTCACTGTGTGAACAGTGACATGTGCAGATCCAGTACCAATAGGAGTAGCTTCAGAGTAATTCAATGCTTCAGCACAGAAGTGATTGCCATATGAAATTTTGCCTTGTGCTTTCACACTTGAGTTTGGCGTATCATGTCACAAGTATTAACAATGCTGCAAAAGAGAAGAAAAGGAAAAAAGACAGAGAAGGGAAAAAAAATAGTGATAAAAGAAGTGAGGCTTCATCATTACCTTTATCCTACACTTCAGAGATACACGAAGTGCAGAAGAACACAAAGACAAAAATATAAAGGTCAGAGAGAACATGCAGAAATGCTGAACTAAACGCAACACGTATTCTCGTGAGACTGCCTGCGAAAGTAAAACATAAGGAAGAGCCACAAGTTCATCAGGCAGTGAATGCCCAGCCAGGGCGGCATTTTAAAATGAGCTTTAAATTCTTGCTTGCACTGCAAAAGCAGATTGGTAGTTATGGTTTTTTGTCTATTGATTTGTAAATAAGATCTTAATTTTCTACTGAGTGCATTCCTCCAAAAACTGTAAACAGGAAAGCTTTCGTATAAGGTTTTATACGAAATTTGAGTATGACTATATCAGTTTTGCACTAATATAAAAACATGGACTATTGAGAAAGCCTGATAGTTGCTGCTTTTAAAAAGTTATTTAAAAACAGTTTTCCAGGTCAATTTTATGTGGCCAATGATATCACATATGTGCAAATATAGGCATCCTCACAGGAGAGGATTGTTCCTACTGGAAAATATTTTTGATCAGCTTTTAGTTGGCTACTGATTCTGAACACCACCGGTTCATTGCCTTTTACGTATATTCTAACAAACAGTAATAACACCAAAGAGCATTGTGAAAATCTTACCAGTTCATGTGCATAATAATACAGTAGATCAAACCCATAACAGCACACAAATGAAGTAAGTTCTCTCTCCTTCCAGCATCACTCATGTGTTTTACCGCTACAACCCCTCCTCTATGTTGTAGGCCACGTACTAAAACTTCAGCTCAACTTTGTCCCTTCTAGACTGCAAGACTTCCCTCTTTTAATTGCACTACGACACGAAGAGCTTTACCAAATATTCAGGCTATTGAGGCAGTACAACACAATGAGAAAGCTGAGATTTTTAGAATTATTTCTATGCAGAGAGTTGCAAACTGACTGCAAAGAGAGTAATCTCCCTCTGAGCTAATGGGACCTGAGAAAATTATGAAAGCTTCATCTGAGAGAACACACCTCGTCCCCCTCTTGCTTTCTGTGAGTTTCCTCTGCCCACAGTCATTGGCAAACATTCTTCCTCAAGGTTTACACCCCAGTTGCCCACTGGACGCTGGTGGAGAATAAGACTAGCTTTTATGGGTCCTATCTTGTTTTTATCACTCCCAAAACATAAAATCAGAATTCCCGGCACACCGCCGCACACTCACGGCTCCCCTTCTCACGCTTGAGGAGCGAAAATCTCCGGGTTTTTTCCACACGACCGACCCTTTCCCGGCCGGAGGGGCCTTTCCACCGCCCACAAGGCTACGGGCCCGCCCCCGGCTCCCTACAGACCAGCCCGGCCTCATCACCACTACCTCTACAAGCCCCGCACGGGCCCGGGCAGCAGCACCGGCCTCACCTCAGCCACAGGCACCGACCGGCGGGGGGGAGCGGCCCGCCGCGGGGGGCTGCTAGCGCCGGGGGCGGCCGGGAGGTCCGTGAACATCGGAGGCCGGACCGCTCCTTCCCCACCGGGCAGACCTCCCCGAGGAGTCCGCCGACCCCCACCGCGCCCCCCGGCCCGGCCAGCACCTCCTACCTGCCCGGTGCCCGGCGCGACCCGGCGCCTGAGGCGGAAGCGGCGGCGGAAGCGCTACGGTGGCCGCGCGGGGCCGGGCGGAAGTGCTGGGGGGGAGGTACCGCCTGCGCGCGCTGCCGGGCGAGGGGCGGCGCGGCGGAGGCCGAGGGAGCGGGCACCATGTCGGGCCGAGAGGGTAAGAGCGGGCCCGGGGCCACTGGAGCCTCCCGCCTTCCCCCTCCCCGGGCCTCACTGTCTCCTCTGTCTTTGCAGGCGGCAAGAAGAAGCCGCTGAAGCAGCCGAAAAAGCAGTCGAAGGACCTGGATGAGGTAGGGCGGGGGTGGGGGGAGGCCTGCTCCGTCGGGCCTGGCCCGCTGGGCTCTGGCCTGGGCATCTTTCTGCCTTCACAGTCTCACTCAGCTCAGCCTTCCGCAGCCATACGTGTTTTATGAAACGCCACGTTTTACAGAGCGTGGTTCTGACAATGACAGTGACAGTGGTGGCCTTGAGGGACACAGGTGATTCCTTGCTTTCCGCGGCCCCGGTTTTCCGGTTTTTGGTTTTTTTTTTTTTTTTTTTTTTTTTTTTTTTTTGTCATGCTGACATCCCTCCTGCCTTCATGGCAAATGCAGCAGCATGGGCTAATGGAGAAGGCCGATAGCACAGAGAAGGCTGCAGGGTCCTCGGCAGAGCAGCAGGCTGTGAGCTGAAGGCTAACGAATCAATGGGTCACAAGAACCTAGGATAGCACACAAAACCCCTGGATTATCAATTAGTTTAAATAAATCAGGCACTAGTGAATCTCATGCTAAAGTTACTTAAATGTAAGGGCTCACAATATGGGAATAAGCTGTTTTTCTCTGAGGATCATGGAAGATGGATGAGGCACCAGTGACTGGAAAAATAGGATGTCTCTCTGAAAAGAGAAAAAAAAAAATCATAGCTTTCTAATTGAGCTTTATTGTTAGGGAAATGTTAAAACCAATTAAGCGTTTACAAGTATCCAGGTTATAATAACTTAAAAAGCAATAGCTAGTATGGATTTTAGGAAAACTGTGGCCAGCAAAGGAAAGTCAGTTCTGTAGCAGGGCAGTGCTCTGTGTCTGTGGAGAGAGCTGGTAGAGTTGAGGTTCTTGATGGTAGCTCATGTAATGTTTATTGTTAGACAGCACTTGTGCACTAGGCTCCCAGTATCACTGGTGGCATGTTAATGAATGGTTTTAATGCAAACATCTATCATTCAGAGGGCAGAATGAGATTATGCCATGGGAAATGATATTTGTTTAATTTCAGAAATGTCAACATACAAAGTTAAGGTTTAGTCATTGTGTTCTTGTACAATCAAAAAACTGTCATAGTTCTGCAAATTTTTGCATACTTAGTAGCATTCAGCACAAGTTCAGTCAGGTTTTTATTGCTGTTAGAACATTGCATTTGTTTCTCGTTGCTTATCAGTTGTTTTTGAATTTTTTTTGTGGGGAGAAGATGTTAACAAACACTGTTGTTCTTTTCTTTAGACAGATCTGGCATTTAAACAAAAGCAGAAGGAGGAACAAAAGAAACTTGAGGAGATGAAAGCAAAGGCTGCTGGAAAAGGGCCCCTCAGTAAGTGAGGTGCCATACTGATAGGAAAAATGGAGGGCTTGCTGGCTTCAAAAATTTAATGTTTTTGCTTGACAAACATAAAAGGCATGTGACTGTTATTTAACATACACCAGTAAGTCGATGGCAGGTGCAGGTGATAAGTAACAAATAGAGGCTTTTTTTTTTCTTTTTTCTTCCACTATGCAATTTCACTCCCAAATTACTGATGCAGGTTCTGGTTTAGCAGGTATAACGGTGTGTCTGGTGTACTGACCTATCCTGGTGGGACAGTGCAGAGACATTTCTGCTCCTATTTTAGTGTGACATTCTTTTTTTTTCCCGGATATATTACATGTAGGCTTTGCTGCAGTCCTGAAAGTTTAACAAATGCAGTACTTGTTCTCTTGGAGGATTAATTTCTTCAAGAGAAGTAAGTTTCTGGCAGGAAAAAAAAACCCACCCATGACTGGAAATTAGTCTGGCTTCAACTCTTTTCCCTAAGTGACTGTAAAGTATGTTGTGTCACAGAGGGTTTGCCCAGCCTCATCTTTGTCTTGGACAGTGGTAGTGGGACACAGGGTTAGTTTGAGCCTGTGCACTCGCCTTGTACTTGTGCAGTGATCAGATTAGGGATGTAAAAGGGTGCTCCCTGCCTGTTCCCTGTAGGTATTTTTGTCCTGTGGTCCATTAATGTGACCAATCTCCATTCTGTGAAGACCGTTAAACTTTAAACTTGCTTCCTATTATTTAGCAAACTTTAAATCTGGAAAAGTCCTAGAAGGACCTTTCCGGCAATCCCATAGAAACTTAGTTTCACTAACAACCTTTGCCATGTAATCTTGTCAGATGCTGTTTGAAAATGTGAAGTCTTCTGGATTCAATTTCTCCATAGACTTAATTATGACCTCATAGATTTCCAGCAGGTCAGTGAGGAAGGATTTGCCATTTACAGAAGTCCTGTTAACTTTCACGAGGCTGTGTTTCCCCATTTGCTTTGTTACAGACCTTGTTATCTGTTCAGAGATGAAGGTCAAACTTGCAGGTCTATAGTTCCCCAGTTCTTTATAGACCCCTCTCTGTATCTGGAGTCAGCATAGACTGAGCTGGCAGCCTGTGAGTCCTCTGACACAGTGGCTGTAATGATAAGTGTAAAATCTTAGCCAGCAGTTCTGCATTTTCACATTAGAGCTTGTCAGTGCTGTTGGAGGGAGTGCCATCCAGTCCCACTGACTTGGGATGTTTCTTGTTTATTTATTTCAAATTGATCTAGCTCCTCTGATTTATCAGCACACAAAAAATGTGCTGGGTGTGGGACTTTGAGTGCCTTTGGTGTTACAGACCAACACAAAACAATTCAGGGAGCTTCTCTTCTGTGTCATTACCATCCTAAGCTTGTTTTACGTAGGGTGCTTCAGCGTAAAGCTATTTTCACAGTTCTTCCCTGCCATTGTTACTCTGCCTTTTTCTGGTCCTTGTCCCCTGCTTGCCAAAGCCAATAGTGATTATTTTGTTACTGTGGGAGGGGTAGACTATTCCCAAGAGCCTCAGCAAGGCAATGCTGTTAAATTCATATTGCAGTGCAAAGTCTGCTGTTGGCCATCAGCTCTTGCAGCCTGTCTTGCTATTCTTTTTTCCTTTCCATGGGTCCTGTATGACACGTGCTGTAAAAAAACAGTATTTACAAAAAATGCCACACTTGTTGCAGTTTTAGTACATTTTCTTCTTTTCACCCTACTTTAGTCTCTTCAATAATAGGGACTGCAGAGAACAGATAATTTCAGAGCACTGCAATTCCCATAATTCCAATACTTGCTTCTGTAGAGCTTTGATCCCAGCTGGGGGCTCTGGTTGCTGTAGGGATACAGATGCTTTTATTCCTTTAGCCTTGAATTTGATTTGACCAGACTATACTCCTGCTCTGTATGAAATAAACAACGGAGGGTGTCCGTGGAGGAACAAAGGAATTGTTGAAATACTTAGTTCTCTAGTAGATTTATGGGGTGTATTTGGTTCCAGGAGGAACTTTGTTTCTAACATTAAGTTATTCATTCAAGGTAAAGTATGTGAAATCAAGGACATGGAAGAGTAAGACACGCAAACCCAATGCAGTGGTGGGGGTCTGAGTGGTACGGGCAGTCTGGGGGGGATTTGACATGATGAGGAACTAAATTTGTAGCTAAGCTTTGAAACAGTTGTCTAACCAGTTGGCGTTGTTTCTTTTGGCAGCCAGCGGTGGAATAAAGAAGTCTGGCAAAAAGTAGTTTGGTGGAACTGCGGGGTGAGCAGCGATGGAGTCGCTCAGTGGATCTGCAGACTTCGGAGAGTCATGAAAACTCACTGTCATTTGGGAAACATTGTACATTTTGTTTAGTGGGAATAAATCGTTTTTGTTAAGATGTAATATTTTCTCTCTTTACCTGTAGGTTTTGTTTTAAAAATGGCATTAGTGATTTATAGTAGAAATGAAACTTGACTGAAGGCCACCTGTGACCTTATGCAGCCTCAGTTGGTTTGGTAGTCATTTGTGAGAATAAATGTCAACTTCTGCTCTTCTTTTTTTTGTTTTCACAATGAGAGTCAGGGCTTGAGCCTTAAAATGTGCGGAGTTTTAATCTGGAAGTTTAGGTTTAGCTGCAGAAAGGTTGGGTTGTGCTTCCATGGCCAGCAAAGCGGTTACCTCAGGGTCAGCCGCCACCCAAAACAATACTCCTTTTCATATTTCTCCTGAGGGACACTGTGGTGGCCATGCCCAGTGGCTGCTGAACATCCCTTTGCCTTCACCCTACAAATAATCACCTTGTTTTCCTTGAACTCCTGTGCACCGACTGCATTGCAGCTCCTTCACGCTCCCAGCAGAGCCTCCTTGGGGAGAGGAGGGGGGGGAAACAGCTCTTGTGGGGCTGTGATTGATTTTTGAAGCGAATAGCGGTGACGGTGCGCTGGGAATGGAAGCTTTAGGGAAGGGAGATGGTGTTCCCAAGGGAGGAGTGAGGGGGTGAAGCATTACCACCGGCTGCCGCTGGCCCGGGTGGTGGTGGGTCCGGAGCGCTCAGTGCTTGGGGAATCCTCTGGCGCCCCCTCGCGGCCAGCGCTGGGCGCGTGCGCACTGTGGCCGCGCGCCGCTCCCCCAACGCGGGGGACTGGCGCATGCGCCCGGCTTGCCCGCACGCGGAGGGGGGCGCGCGGAGGAGGCTGGCACATGCGCACCGAGGGCGGCCGCGCGCCTCGCCCTGCGCGCGAGGCGGTGAGGCTGAGGGAGGAGAGCGGGCGGGCCGTCCTCCCTCAGGCTGTGGCGGCCCGGGGCCACCCGCGGCTGGGCGACCTCTCGCCAACGGCCCGGCTGTCTCTAGCGCGGTAAGAGGGGTGATTGTCTGTAGATTGTCATCCCGGGCTGCCTGTTCCTTAATATCGAGGAGCCGGGCCTCCCCAAGGAGAAAAGCTTCCCTCCTGCGGGCTGTGTTGGCTCCGGGCGCTGTGTGTGAGGGAGGTGTTCGCCAGGGGACACACACAGGGGCTTGGACATCAGTGCCAGAGCAGAACTGAGACATATTTTGTCATGGAATTCTATAAAAACCACAGCCCTCAGTATTTTTGTGGCACTAGCATCCCACCAGCGTTAATGGTGCAAGGGCTTATGTTAATAGGTTTCTGAATGCCCCTTGTGCACAAGTTAGGTATCCATTTTGGGGGGAGCTAGATCTTCTAGAAAGTGGTGCAGCGTCACAGCCCTTTACTGGTCATATGCCAACATGCCTTTATATTGGTTATATGCTTCTAACATTACAGAATTGCAGCCTTAGCTGACACACTAATTGTTCACAGTGAGATCCAGCTCCCTGCTGCCCTCCAAGCAGGTGAAAAACCATTTGGTGACACAGAAAATTGTCTTCTCTAATGGTACTTCTCTGGCTATCTAATTGAGTCCTGCCAGCCAGATGGAGCAGGTAAAGCCTGAAATTCAAGCATACTTCAATATTTTTTGCATTTTGGACAGAAATAACTTGTGTATCAGAAAAATACACAAGGATGTTGGACAAAGCTGCCTTAGATATGTTGCCCAAGAGACAACCCCGGCTCTGTGCTGAACACCGAAGGCAACATGAGCCACCACTGGTACCTCTTGGGGCAGAGCTCAGTTCCAACACATGAAATGCAACCATAGATACAGTGTGCCCACAATTTTGCAAGCTCAGAGAAGAGTGCAAACACAACCATGGTTTACTTTACTTACATCAGTCATATACTGATGGTGGCAGACACTTACCAACACAGCCCAAGTGCACACCCACTTTCTGCTGGTGTCAAAGTAGGTAACTCCGAGGTAGTGGTTTAAAATGAGGAGGAAGAGGGAATGGGAGACAACAGCCTCTAGATCTGGCCAGAATATGAGAGAAATATAACCTTGGCAGTGCATCAATAAGCAATTGTTTGGCCCAGGGATTACTAAATGAGGTTGCCAATCAGAGTGAAGCTAACTTGAGGTGGCCTGAGTGAAATAAGAGTGAAATAGATTGAACAGAAATCTCTCCGCAGCGTGACAGAATACGCAAAAATGTTTCAGCCAAAAATCAAAACAAGGGAAAGAGACCAAATGGCAAAGTGACAGATCACTGCTGTGGGAGAGCTTTTCTCAATAGGCTTTAGTTTAATGTAGACATTGAACTGCCTTCCTGGCCAAGAATCCTCCTGTGTTTAGTATTACGCTATGGAAATGAAGCTGAACAAAGCAACACTTTGATCGTATGTTTTTACATAATGCTATATAATAAATGGCATTTCATTCCTCAGCACAGCTACAGCTCAGTCTTAAACTAATGCAGAGACAATATAGCTCCTAAATCACATATATACATAAAATTACCCACAGTCTGAAGGGCACAGAAAAAAACAAAGCCCAGAAGGCAGTAGGAAATGAATGTCAATGATTAAAATAGTAGCGGAATAGATGCAAATATTGTTTATATGGAAATCCATCGAAGGATACGATTGCCACAATGAATTCAAGTCAAGCTCTCATGTTTTAAATTGCTTTGCCCGCTCTTCAGAGTTAGTTCAGCTCCAAGGAAATCATACCCTACTCTGAATGACTTCCACATACGGATTCATTTGAGGTCTTAAATATCAAACTTCTCTAGGATAACTCAGCCAGTCTGGAGAACTGGGTTTGAACTTTTGCTTTGCCACAGACTTGCTTTTTGTCCTTGCATAAGGCATCTTGCATTTCACTTTTCTTCTTTCCACAAAATGGGAATAGTGGTTTATCTTACTTCAGAACAATATTCTGAGGCTTAATTAACAAATAATTGTACTACAATTCTAGACTGAGAGTGGCTAAGAAAGAACTAAGTACACAACCCCAAACATCCTAAAACTCTTCACTGCACCGCCCAATGAGCTTCAAAACACCCCAGGGAGTTTCTCATGCTTTTATGTTCCAGTTGATCCTTCCTCCCACAGTTGCCTTACACAGAAAATTAGAAAGAGGGGCACAATATAGCACAATTACAATAGCAGCTCGAGCACAGCGCTCCTCCGTCTAACTCTGCATGGACTCGTGACTCCTTTGCAGCCTTTAGCAGCTCTACAATTCTCCATCTTCCATTTCCCTTTTCTCCAAACTGTGATGGTATCATCTGGACCTCCACCTTGAAAAGCATTATAGAGGTTTCTAAGTTATGACCTTTTAATGATATAAAACCACGCCAGTTTTAAAAATCTTTTTCAAACAGCAGAATCATTCATTCAATCTCATTTGTAGGATGAGATTTCTTTTCTTGCTATGAGTCTTAAATATGGATTAGTTAAAGCATCTCTGGTCAAAAGGGATTGTTTTTCCAATAGATTTCATACCAAAAGAAACATTGCTTTTTTTTTAAAGCAGGTATTGCAAAACTGGAAACCAATTCTACCCTGCCTCACACATTGAAATTGCCTGTTGCAAGTGAAGTCTTAGATGTTTATTCCAACACACAGCTAAACTTTTTTGAGACCAAACTTACCATTCATTCACATACACAAGTTACATCATTTGACCAAAGCTTTTCCAGACTGACAGTAGAAATCTGCATGAGGTCCTTGATTTCCTGTGCTAGGGCTGTAACAACCAGACTGCCCCCAATTAGCTTCAACATGGCAGTTGCTATTAAGTCACTTCTGTCAACACGGTGTCAAGACATGTCTCCGTACCAGCTGAACATGAGGACAAAGGTGCTGATTCCCCTGGCGAGGCACAGCAGTGAAATCTGGTAGTGGATAATGAGGAAACTTACTCAAAGTAGCCTGGTACCCTTACAAAGTAGTAGGGTCTTTGCTGCCAGTAACTCTATCTTAGCAATTAGCTTTTGCCTTGCTTACTCTGTGGGCAACTAAACACATCCTCATGAAACATTACAATGTTTAACATCAGTTTCTCTGTACAAGTTCAACAACTGGGGACACTGCAAGAAGACTGTTTTCCTAACTAGTCAAATTTGCAAGTTCTGTTTTGCCCACTTCTTATCTTTGTGGAAGAAAGCTGCTAAAAGACAACTGTTTTAAACTCAAAATTAAATGTGAGGTGACACAGCATTTGAAAAAAAATCTCCTCAGATCAGGGTCATCAGAGACAACTTCAATGTTACTATGAAACAAACAGCAGAAAACAGTACATACTGGCAGAATTTCTAATAGAAAATCAGTAAGACTAGACTGCCATCTCATGGATATGACTAACCTGAGATTGTACCAAATTTAGGAGGAAAAAAAATTGCATTGATGCTGTCACATTTGGTAAAACTAGATGGGTTTGTAATATCTTCCTATTCCTTCTAGTCATTAGTATACTATCATTATTTATTTGCAGGTTCCTTATTCATACTGATGAGATTCAAGTAAAGGAAGAAATATACGCCCTAAAACCATGAACAACAGCAGAGCTCAGGTCAGTGTCAGCAGCTGCAAAAACCATGAGCTGCTGCTAAGCTTTCCCTGCATTTCAGGTGGATGTGGCCACTAAGTAATGCCATGCTGTTCTCAAGTTCTAGGTCTGTTCAGAAAAATAGAAACCCAAAGGTATCATAAAGCTCCAGTCACTTAACCATTTGGTTAGGATAAAAGACTGGGGTATTTTTTGGCTTTAAAATGGTACCAATGGTGCTCCTGTACGGTGTTACTCCTCCTATGAGGTGTTATTCCTGGCTTGGCAAATTCCTGTGCAAAAGCTGGTGATATAGGAAAGAGGAGAGATGGAAGTGTGTTTAGTAGCTGAGGTTAAAACAGAGTTTGGGGCCAGTGAATCTGTTCTGCAAGCTGCTAAGTTTGCTCAGTCACCTTGAACACATTGCTGTTCACCAGGCTTTGCAAAGTAGCCTGAGATCTGACTGAAGCAAACAAGAGCAGCACGTTATCTCTGTCTCTTTGGCTACTTCACTATTTTTTTTTTCAAATGTTCACTATTTTGACATTATCACTGTCATTTAACTTTAGACAATCTATGAAATTACTGATTCTAACCTGCTTATCTAGGTCTTATCCTTGTATGGGCTTGAAAAATACAAATGGGGTTATCTAAATTACCCTCAGAAATAAAAATATTCCACATGGTAAATAAACCTTATTCTCGCTTACTAAGGTTATTCTGAAATAAAACCTTGTTTGGTAGACATTAGTCTGCTTTTATATAGAATGACTCCAATATCACAGGTTTTTGGAAAAAAGTATTAAATAAAATAAGCCATAAATACAACAGATGATGCAAGAAAAATGCACTTGGAGAATTATGAGAGCATTTTCTAAACCAGTAAGACAGTCATTTCGAGTGTCCAGACATTTCCTTTAGTGATGTGTTTATTCTTAGTCTAACCATTATTATTTATTGATTCCTGCAATGCCTCTCTCCACTCCAATTTGCTTCACAGAATTATGAGTTAGATACAGACCTCAGGAATGCAGAAGCCATTATGACCATGTGAACCACCACTGTTCACTAGATAATATTCTGCACTTCCTAAAGGCAGGAGATTAAGTAGGTAACAAATTTCCTAAACCCCTTCTGTATTTAGCAGCAGAGGGCCAGCCATTTCAGTATTGTTTCTACAGATATCACTGATCTTGTAGTACCTCCAAACCAGAAGCTACTAGGGAGTGACAGAGTAAAGGAAGAGTTCTTTTCAAAGAAAGCTATTAATATACCCTAAAGTTCAGATGTAACTGGCAAAGACTTAAAATGAAATATACACTAAACTAAGTAAGTACGTACCACCATGTCCTGGTTTTAATAAAGAGGAAAAATAAAAGAACCAACAGGGCAAAACTACAGCTGTGATGTAAAACAGCTTAGGTCTTCAGGACATTTATTTTGATCTACTTACAGAACCTTTTTTTTTTCCCAGATGTGGAAAAATAATATTCCTGACAAGAAGATAATTCTGTTTCAGTTGTTTAAATCACGCTTCTGGCTTATCCTTTTGCTCAGTTCAAGTCACTTGTCTGTAGTAAGACAGCATATCATCTAAACTTTGGTAAAGTGGTTCCTGATTCTGAGCATCACTGCTGTTGGTCTGCGCTGAAGGTTCCACGTCTTGAGCACTGCAGCCACAGGCCTGCACTCCTGGTGGTCCATCTTGGGCGCTGCAGCCACAGGCCTCCTGCACCACTCCTGGTGGCCCATCTTGGCCGCCGTAGCCATAAGCCTGCATTGGAAATGGTGTGTCATGAGCGCTGTAGCCATACGCGTGCATGGGTGGCATCATGCCTTGAGCGCCGTAGCCGTAAGGCTGCATGGGAAAGGGCATTTCATGAGTGTTATAGCCATAAGCTGGCATTGATGACAGCACATCTTGACCACCATAGCCGTAAGCCCGCATTGACGGCGGCACAACTTGAGCACCGTAGCCATATGCCTCTGCTGATGGCAGCGTATCCTCATCATCGCTGCTGTCATCCTCCGCTGATGATGGCACATCTTGAGTGTCACTGCCACGGGCCTTTGTTGATGCCGACTCATCTTGAATATTGCTGTTGTAAGCCTGCCCTGACGGTGGCACACCTTCAGTGCTGCTGCCGTTGGCCTGCGCTGATGGCATCTCTTGCTTTTGTGCTGTCTCTGTCTCCAGTTTTTCAGAGGATGTTTCAGGACTGTTCAAATTCTGGTTTCTGTAATTATCATCTTTCTTTTGTCCCATAAAATAATCAGAAGGTGGTGCAAATTCTGGATCTCGCTCATCTCTGAGTTCTTCCTGTTTCTTTGCCCATTGTCCAAACATCAATTCTGTTAGAAACAGGGAAAATGATAGATTGAATATAGATTTCAGGGTCTGAAGATCAGTCAGAAAGGAAGGAAAACAAATTAGCAAACACAGAATTTGCAGCTGTGAAAAGCCATTTGAAGTTACTTTTCCATCTAGTACTAGATTGCTGGCTCAGCTGACAGTCCACTTTTTTTACAGAAATGCAGGAATGAAAGCACTGAACATTATAGATAACCACCATCCCCTATACAACTCATCCCCGTCACTTCAAAATCTTTTAACAATGTGGTCATTGGTTATGAAAAATGACTAACTAGTTAGGGGTAAATCAAAATACAAACCAATCAATGCATTAAGAGCTTGGCTATTAGAAAGCGAAGATGATGAGATTATCTCTAGTAGGCACAGGCAAAAACCAGAATAACTTCTTTATTTCAACAGAAATGGTAGATATTCTTGTTACTATGGCAGCTGCTGATTTCCAATTAAAAATAGTTCTGAAGTACTACAATGGAATGACATCTCAAAATCACCACTCTTGAAAAGCTATCCTCAAAACATGCTCCGAAGATGTCCCCCAAACATACTCTCCAAAACAATTAAAATTATTTTCAGTATTCATTTCTACCAAGACTTTTGTAGAAAATTTTGATACATAAGGGCTACACATTTGTCTGATGTAGCAAAACAGAGCCCAAATCAGAGCAGGGCTTCTTCCTTTGCTTTAGCAAAAATACAAAAAACCCCAAAATAGTCAGGAGGAAAGCATTTAAGAGTGAGGAGCTTTGCTCATCCCTTCTTATACTAATTTAGATTCTTGTGTACATTTATGTTCAGTGAACCACAGTTATTCTACTTCACATTTTAGAGTAAGCTGTTGTCTACTTTGGCTGTAGTATTCGTTGTATAGCACAGAGCTGCTTGAGTGTCAGTCAGATACCAGGTTTTCTTAGAGGCAGGAAAAAAACCCCAGTATTGGGGAGGATAAAGATTTAACAGAGAGGACCTGAAAGTTTTGGGTTTTATTGGAACCACAAAGTTTCCCCTCACAATGATGTTCATTAACTGAACACAAAGAGAGTAAGTAAAACGGAAGTAAAATGAAGCCGGAAATATCAGTATTGCACAGAATAGGAATGTTGCTCTTACAGGAGCACAAAAGAAGGTGGATACTATGTGCTTTGCCTATTCCTTGTTTGCTTTTACTTAGAAGTCATGAATCAGACCACAAGAATGTGCATGAGCACAGATAACTGGTGGAGAATGAGTTAATGGTTTGGGAAGGATCTGGAAGACAGCCATCACTTGATGTTGTGACAAGGAAGATGCTTCACGATGGGACACTGGCATTGAAGTGGTCTCTATTGCATCACTTTTTAGTAATGTCCTGTACCCATTTCAGTGTAATACATCCTGCCATCACATAGCATGAACTACAGGAATACATCAAGAAAAGATCACGTTGAATGACAGTAAATCTTATGAGCTATGAAATTTGTCATTCTGTCAACCTCTCTGGATCATCCAGAAATAGAATAACTCATACTGAAGAAAAAATTATGGGGACATTATAGGAGCTACTGGCACTAAGGGCATGCCTCATCAATCACTGCACTGGACACTAGATAGCCATCAGTACAAAGGGGGAAAGTAATTGCTTCTCAGTCTTTCCATACTTAGTCACAAAATAGAAATGAAATTGGCAGCATGCACTCTGCTAACTGGAAACATTCCAAACAATGTTTCTGAATCTGCATTTCCTTACCTTTGCCTTTATCCCACTCTCGGACATAAGGCACACCAGGCTTTGTATCCCTTCTCTCCTGGATGACAACCTCGACCTTTCTACTCGCTGTAGTAACTCTCGGAGCTTCCGGTTCTTCGGTATCACCTTTCAACTCTGTTACAGAAAGAGATAGTAGTTTTTGTTAGTAATGGGATAAAATCTACGTGAAATTCATAGAAGGAATAGGATGCAACAGTTATTTGCATTTATAGAGCTCATACTAACGATCTAATTTCATTCTAATAATAAAATGCATCTAAGTGGGGAGGGTTTTTTTTTTTAATTACTGCATGACCTCAATAAGATAATGGATAAGTCAGATAATCAGGAAGCATATCTACCAAGAAACACTTCATTAACTTTGTAGTTGTATCAAAAAGACTGCTAAAAATCTATTGCCGAATAACCCAAAAAGGAATGTCCTGTTGTTATAATAAGAGCATTTGTGTTGTTAAAATAAGAGCATTAGTGTGTTATCTCCATTTCGTTTACAGGAGAAAACAATTTGCATTCTCATTCTTCTGAACAACAGTAACAGCACTGGCACATTACTGTTCTTCATTTCCAGAACACTTCACAGTTGATCACTTGCATAGAATTCTGACACAGCGAAATATTAGCTACTTTTACAGTGGGAGACAGTACAAGTTGACTAGCAGTGTCACAGGGGAGACAGCACAGAAATGGGATCAGAACTCAAATTCATCATCCTAAATCCTAAAGTCAGTTGTACGTCCCATTTACAGACTGCACTGAAACTGTAGGAGTGTATGTTATATGATACCAAAATTAACTTGTTACTTCTTTTTATTTTACTTCATCTTCAAAAAATAAAAAGCCAGGAAAATTTCAGCAGCTCTAACCTCAACCTGCATAATTAACCTACATAATTCCTGCTGTCAGGTGCGAGTCAAAAAAAGCCTACAATCTACATATCACATTTCTACCTGCATTATTAAGCTATTTCTGGCATGATTTTATATCTACACACAATTATATGAACTCTCACTCTCTTAACAGTTATACTGATTGTATATATAGAATACATAATACCAACATATTGAATGTCCAAACCTAAATCACAGTATGCCTATCCATCCAATACAAGATGAAATAGCAAGTATTTAACTTAAAAAGGTGGCAGATCATACCTCCATTCTCCAATTTGTCTGCCTCTTCCTCTAATCCAGCTTCCCTTAACTTCTTAATCTTCCGTGCTCGAAGTTTAGACAGTCTTGCATCTAGAGCTGCCTTCCTTTTTTCTTTTAACTGTTCACGTTTAGTTCTCTGATCAAGTGTCTTAACAGCAAAGAAGAACATGAATTAATCTTCCTTTGTTATTATAATGAACTACATACCTTCCTTCACTAAACAACTCAAAACAATCCTCATGAAGTACAACATTTCAACACGGAAGAAGAGGCCAAATTTCTTTGGAGTTAGCTGCAGGCATCACCTAGTATAAGACTTTTACAACCAAAGACAGTGACCACTGAAATTGGGATGCTCTCATACCCCAATCTGCTCTTTAACCTCATACCTGCTCTCTCAGCATATCCAGTGTTGCCCGTTGTTTATTCCTAAGTTCTTTGTCACGAGAAAAGGCAAAGTAACCAACACCAAGCTGCCTAGCCTCTGAAAAGAAGAAAATAAATAAATTTAAGTTACATCAGTTTATAATTGACAATAATTACAAGCACCATGCACCCTGCTTTCAGGCACTGAATTACTCCCAACAACATAAACCACATTAGCTTTAGATGGCTAAAATGGGCTTGTTTTAGATGAGGCCTTAAGTGAAGCTTCCTGACAGAGAGAACAGGAGGATGCAATGAAATTTGAAAAAAAAAAAAAGAAATTTAAGGAAAAATAGATCTAGATTTATGTTCTGGTAATTTGAATGGTTATTAAACATGTGGCTTAACACCTCTCTACACTTTGCTGTATCGGCACAAGAAGTAACTTTCCCTTGCTTCCTCTAAAACCAATCTCTTTGGTGATATAAAGATAAGTAATATAAAGTATGTAAGTATACCATTTTCTCGAATGTCCTCATAATGTATGGGTCCCATGGGTTTTCTGAGGGCTTCTTCTTCTTCTTTTTCCCACTGCTGCCTCTGAAGTTCTCTTCTCATATCTTCAGATAGCAGAGTATTCCCATCAAGGCCTTGTCTAATTGAAAAAAAAAAAGAAAAAGTTAGGGATTACAGAGCAGAATTTACCAGCTTTCAGTAACAAACAGTGACAGTGTGATTGGATCTGATCCACTGTTGCAGGTTTTACAAAACTTAGATCACTGCAGGCACCATTTAGTGATGCAGCAGCATTAATGACTACAGTGGTACACAGTAAAGACAGAAATACAAAACTCTCTCTGAAGCAAGGTACTAGAACAACGTTATTAAAATACAAAATCATATAATTTCTTACAGACTTTTTGAAATCATTATCAAATCACAGAATGGGAGATGAAATAATCACTTTTATTGGCATCTGTTGGGGTGCTAGCAACCACATATAGAAACATTTCAAATTTAACGTAAGAAGATGCAAAAAGCTAGCCATTAATTTACCCTAGAAGTCCATGCCAAATATTAATAACCAATATGGGAAATATTTTTGTGTTCCCAAAAAAACCAGCAGGACCTTTTTCTTTTATTATCTAGCTAAAGCCGGTTTTGCTGACCAACTGTCATCTATATCAATGCAGAGACTGCAGTTTCAAAGCACCCATTTCTCCATCTTACATTTAAAATACAGAGAACACACTAATGACTTGTTAATGTGAAAGAAAATGTCATATCAGCAATGGCTCAGTTGCAGTGCTTTTAGATTATTTTCTGAAAACAATTCTCAGTGCTGCCATAATAATTTGAACAAAAGAGCTGTTAAACATCTGTTTAACAGAAGAGCAAAAACAAACAAATGGAGATCTAACAAATTCACTTTGAATGCCATGATGAATTTGGAATTGCTAAAAGATTATAATCAGTTTCCAGGTGAGACAGAATCAGGAATCACTTCTCTGGCAGGTTTTGGAAGGTACAATAAAATACAATTTCCATACAAAAACCATGGTTTTAAAAGATGCATCAAATATCTGAGAGACTACTAAGTCAATTTATTAGAACTCTTCTCTGCAAGTTATGCTCCGTCAGTGAGGTTTTAGATTTGGTCGGCATTTACATCAAAGAGTGTGCTGCCTTATTAGTTTATTAAAAATTTTGTTTTGACTTTTATTTGATATCCATGGCCTCCATTCTGTTGCAATTTAAAACCAATGCACCACGTATTTCAAATGGTGAACTGCCAGGAAGAAATACCCTGGATTTCCAGAAGCCCTGGAATACTACATGAATATATGTAATTAATACCAAATTAAATCACAGTCATGTACAACTGCTCTGCAGCTACTCCCTCTATTTTTTAAGGCACAGTGTAGTAACCAGCAGAAGTCAGTGTAAAGAGAAAGCAGTAGTATCAATAATTCCGGATTGAGAATAGGATAACAAGGAAAGCCTCTCTCCCTTCTCATTAAAAATAAAAGTATGTTAAATATTGCAAGGAACATGCACTTCCATTAGAGAAAACACACTTTTTCCCTTGAAGTTCCTGATCCATTTTAAGTAGACTTGGCAAATCCTTCTTCATACAGCGTCTAGATCGGCCCAAGAAATCAACATAATCAACCCTGTAATGAAAGCAAAGGAAATTTGATGTAGAACTTCTATTTGCAGATTTAGAGAACTCTTAACCCAAAGACAGAAGCAGTGACACATTCCAAAGAGTATCTGTCACCTGTCAGTCTCTCCAGGTGTGATAGTTTCTTCTACCTTTCAATTAACAGGCTCACAGGTTAAAAGGACACATTCTGACAGGGCATATGACAGTTTTATCACCTACATTTCCTCAATCTCCCTGGGAGCCGGCTGTTTGCCTTGGCAATAAAATGGTGTAAAAAAATGTTCAAAAGTTACGCTGTCATGTAGTTTTCACACCAAAATAAAACTGAGCCCAGTACTTGCTTCCCATGGTGAAAATAATGATGCGGCATTGACTTCTTGCAGATATGAAATTGCCACAATATATTTCAATTATCAGTCTAAAGCTCATTTAGAATCGGCTGATAGTGTTCATTCAACTGGCATAACAAAAGCTGACTAAAATGCAAGCAAAATGTTCCTTTGAAGCACATATTGCGCTTCTCATTCAACTCTTTATAGTACTGAACACTTAATTTACAGTTGTCGAAAAAGCTGTTAAGAGCTATACTATTGTCCTGTAATGCCAGGAAGTTCTTTAGCATCAAGCTGCCTCAATTATCCCATTCTAAAGAATTAATATTACATCTGAAAAAGTATGACTGGTGATCTAGTTCCCAAAACCCAAACTTTTAAAGATCTGTGCATTTAGTAAGTTAAGTATTTTACATAATTTCTAAGGATACTTAAAGCTAAGTATATACTCAATGCCCTTTTGTTATTACAATGTAACATCAGTAGGGAAAAAAAGGCTGCATTCCTCCAGTAAACGTAACTAGACATAACTAAAGATCACTGCAGAAAAATGAGTATTATGCTAGCATCCAAATATCCTCATTAGGATATGACCTCACTGAGATGGACAATACGTTAATAATAATACGAATCACTGATGTAAGATGTGATAGAAAAGCACCACATGAACAGTAAAATGTATCAGTTTAAATTCCTGACACTTTACGGTGATGAGAGAACAAAGCAGCTTGAGCCCATTGCTCATTCATAGTTTCATCTTGTATTGCAGCAAGAGGCTGGTAACGGGTGTATCCACCTTTCCAACCCTGCAGTCTGCTGGTACTCTGCTGGATTATTTTCTCATGCAACTGTCAGGAAACACGGGACAGCTTAGCCCAAACAGCAGTACAAACCATTCTTCATCTGGGTCCTCAGGTGGTGGTATGTCCATTTCAGGTTGAGTTTCTTCATCATCTGTGTCTTTTTCTGAAGTCTTTCTCGCAGCTTCGCTCCGATACAGTTCCTGTACTTCGTGTTGTTTGTCTATGATCTTCTGAGTGAAATCCACTAGGTACAAATCCTCAGTTTCTTCATCTAAGGCAGAAAATCGATTCTTAGAGAACAGCCATGAAAAGAAAAGGACTGAGCACAAAATCAATACAAAATAGCCACAATCAGCTTTTCAGCTGCCAGCGATGCTCTTGACCACACTACTGGAGAATACTTAAATCTCATTCAGTGCCAAACAAACTTGGAGCTGTAAATTGGCTCCACAGTGATAACCTCTATTTCTGAATAGAACTTTCAGGGGTATTTTAAAGCAATTAGTAACTTGTGTGCAATACAGAAGAGGTTACAGTCTTTGCACTAAAATATTCTCTGCTCATTATTTCAGAAATAGAGGGTTTGTTATATAACAGTTCAAATACTTTTTTGATGCTTAACATTTGGTGTTTGCAGTAGTTAAGCTGTCACTAGAGTACTTTTCTAAAAAGTAAAGAAATGTGGGGTTCATGGGGACAAAGATGGGCACTAGGAAAGAAAACATTAGAGATTAATCGCAGGGAGATTTGGATTCTATTTTAATGAATACTTCTTGCAAGGGTAGTTCTCTCACTGAATGAGTGAGAGAATTCTAATCTGTTCCTTTCTTCTCTAACCCTACTAGCTGCATGACTAGTATTCACACATGGACCAGCCAGACTCCCCTCCTGCTCATCTTTTCTTCATAAAGGCCCAAGAATTAGAATGCAGGACAGAACATCAGCAATGCAATCCAAAGACTGCATAATGGAGAATAAATTAATTTTGTTTTTCTAAGATTCTGTATTGAAGAACCAGAATATATTCCACCCATTTAATGAACGAGTGAGTGAAACAAGCCAATAGTGCTTCACTAGGACAGGCTGTCCTTCAAAAAGTAATTTTATTTTCTCTAGTACCTATATTTTTCTCCCTTTCAAAACAGAATAACCCATGTCACTCACTTTGTAAAGTAATCACAGAAAAAAATTTACCATGCAAGATGAAAAGCAGGGAACTTACAGTGCAGCTGCTATAAATCACCAGATCGTCAGAAATACCAACTTTTAGGGTGATCTTTAGAATTATATATATATATACACACACACTCTCTCATATATTTTTATATATATATATTTTATATATAGAAATTAATTATTTAGACTAGTTTTGTTCACCTGGAAAGTCGCCTTTTGTCATTTTCTCATACAGCTTTGCTTTTTCTTCTAGTTTCTTCCTGAAAGAGGGAAAAAACCCCTATGTTGCAATTCCACCAATTCCAAATGACCAATTAAATCTTGGGTAAATGGAACAGGAAAGTACCAGAAGTGCTTGAAATGTTTATGCCTGGGTTTTGTTCTGAACCTTAACTGACATTTCTGAAGATACATATATATCTGGTTCCAGAGTTTATACTGAAAATAATTTTAGTGACATTACAGAATTAATCTTAAGTGTAATTCGTCAAGTAGGCATGAACACGATGTAACAAGTATTCCATCTCTATCTAACTACTACAGTCTGTCAGACAAATACTGGAAGAAGCCAGACCATTATTTGCAGGTATGAGATACTGAAATACTGGTTTACAGAAGGAAAAAAGAAAAAAAGAAAAAAAAGAAAGCGATAACATGGAGCTACATTTAATCTTAGAAACTGAAGATAAACCTTAGCTGTTTTCTGCAATGGTAGAAGACAATTTTGAAGAGCAAAGAACTGCCTACAGAAACACAGCAAACACCTTATAAATTGCATTTTCAACATTTATCTTATTGTACAACTAATCCATTTAGAAGATCAGGTAAATCTTGCAAAAAAGTGAGTCATTTTCTGTCAAGTCCAAGAAACATTTTGCTATAAAATTCTAACGTATTGCTGCTCTTTTAACTCTAAAGATGACTTTTAAAAAGCAGTAACCTGACAGACAGCTACGATAACGCGAGGGCAGATATCCCTAGAGCATGAGACTGCCGGGATGCGCTTTGTATGTCACCAGTGAAGAGCACAGAACTCATGCTGCTCTTACTGGTTGGTCTAATGAGAACCGCTGGTTCAAAACATGCATAACTTGCTTTATGTGCTCTTCTGAACACTGAAAAACAAATTCCACAAAGCATTCCTTTCTTACAGAGCCTAAGAGTTACCTTGATTTATCTAATATATGCTCCTCTTCTGTCTTTTGCTCAACGTCCTTCTCGGCTCGATTTGCAACTCCTGCATTTTGTTTGCTCCAGATGCTTGGTTTCTGCGCAGTACAATTTTATAACAACAAATACATAAATAAATAAAAATACTGAAACGATAAAGATTTAAAATATTTCTACTTCATGATCCAAACTTTGCAAATCAATCATGAAAGACTTTGTAAAGAACATCTTAAACATGTTTCACTTGAGACTACTGTGCTGTAGAATGCAGCAGGTATGTCCAAAAACTACACAGATGGTGGTATGATACAGTAGTTAAGGACAGTTAAACCCCCCCAAAAACCACTCAGAAATCAGACAAAATCTATTCTGGCAAAGATGTCAAGGTTAAAAAAAATAATAAAGCCAATCTTGCTGATTACTAAATAACAAAGCTACAAATTGTTTCTACTCTCTATTACCTTCATTTTAGATATAAAATACAATCAGTTTGCCTATTTACAGCGTAACACTGTAAATGCTGCATATTCTTCAGATATGGCAGCAATACTCTATTCTGCTCCTAGAAAGCTACAGAATGAATAGAAAACAATGTGCAGTAAACTGAGAGAAGAGTGTGTATGCATTAGTATACACTGCGATACAGAGGAACAGATAGCAGAGCATTTATGAGTGTCTCAACCTCCACCTGAAAGAGAAGCATACAAAATCCTGGAGAAAAAAAAGAAACTCCTTTTCCTACAGTTACAAAAGCTGTGGCTCTCCAGGGAGCGAAGATTAAGCGGTGATTTAAACAGGCATAAGCACGTGATAAGTTTTCAGCTGTGCACAAGAATCTCACCTGGAAATGAAATTTAAAGAACATCCTCATCATGTAGATTTTACCTATGATTAGTAACATAGCTCTGAGTATTTATTGATTTAGATTTGAATATGATCTTCCTTACTTTAAGGAGAAAGAATGACAAAAACAACAATGGAAAAATATTTCTACCTTATTAGAAGCTTTGGGCTTTGCAAAGATGCCAGCATCTTTCAATAGCTTTTCCTTCTTGAATTCCTCTTGCTTTCGGAAGAGTTCTGCTTTGAGATCTACCAGCTATATCAACAGCAAAATAAACAAATAAACAACCAAGACATATCAGGTGCAAATACATCAGTGACTGCAATAAAATAATAACTGTAATTTTAGTAAAACAGTGTGGCATTTAAAGTTATATGTGCATTTAATTGCATCGTTATGTGGAACATCAAAGCACTGATCCGATCACAAAGATTACCTAAGTTTATAGCAATATGCAATATACAATATACAAAAAAATCACAGAATGCAAATTATCATTAAGGATTTAAAAAAAAACAAAGATATCCTTGATCCTTTGATAGATATTGGGAATAAGGACTAATGAAATAACAGTACCAAATTTGAAAATAAAACTTGAGACAGGATTTGATTCATTATCTTATGGTTAGAAAAGAATTGATAGAAGTTTGCTTGGTTTTCTACTAATTTATTAACTGTTACATAGTTTTAGTTTTCGTTCTTTTAAAAATTTCTTTATAGAAAATATGCAAGTAGCATTGCCACCTCTGACCAATGCCCATCTCATCTTTCATTTCAGGGGTATTGTCTTGAAATTACATTAAAAAAAGCCTAGTCTGGAGGAGGATGCTGGGTCACCTCCCCTGCCAGTCCTACAGAAGACAAACGTCACAGATGGACATTGATCAGGAAAGTGGAAGACTTTACTATTAATATTTGCCCCAAACACTACAGCATTTGCTTATCAGGTCCCTGTAACAATGAAGCAGATTTTTGTAAATTAAGCCTTTTCTTCCCCCCTGAATGCTTAGAAGTGACCATCCAAAAGAATTCAATGTTAATTGTTTTATATACAACAACTCCCACTTTACATTAACTGTTTATTTGGGAAAACGCCGTGTTTGGCAGCAGCCCCTTGTTCACCGACGACTGGAGAGCAGGGAGACCAGCACCTCCCCGTCCCTGGGGGTCGAGTTAATTTGCCAAGACACAGACCTCCTTCTAATTAGAAAAAAAAAATCCGGAGATCAACTCCCGTTTCCCTCTCCTGCCTTAATTTTATCATTACGTGAGGGACGGGGGCAAATTCAGGGCTGGCACACTCAGACTGTGAGCGCGGGGCTAAGTTACAACAGGACGGTTAAAGTCAGCATTTCCTTCAATGAGTGCGCGTTTCCGCGGCTGGGGTTAAGGCGAGGGGCAGAAGCCGGGCCCCCTCTCTGCTGTTTTTCCCCCCTGGAAGCGGCTCGGCCACAGCCCGCACGGCCCGCGCCCGCTGGGCCGCCCGTGGCTATACCGGGCCCGTCTGGCCGCCCCCACACCCTCCTAAGCCGAGCGACAGGCCCTCCCGCACAGGCGGAGGAGCTTGTTTTGCTTCTTCCCGGCCGCGGTCAGGCTCGCTCACTCACCGAGGAGGCGGCCACGTCCAGTGGCTTCTTCCTCCGGTCCATGGCGGCCTCCCCTCCGCCGGTAACCACCCGGGCCGGCCGCCTTCTTCCCCGCTTTGCGGCCTTACCGTAAAGCGCAGCGGAGGCGAGGCGCTATTGCGACAGCGCCCGTAAGGGCAGGCGGGCCATTCCCCGCCGCCATGTTGGGGAGGTCAGGGGAGGGTGGACGGGTAGGGGCGGGGCGCGGGAGCTTGCCTGGCTGTGCCCCGGTTGTGTGGGACAGTAAGGGTTTCTGGCAGGTAGAGGCCAAATTCTTTAGGTCCCCTCTTGGAAATGGCCACATATGGCCTGGGGACTGGAGGTGCTGCTTCTAGTGAGGGTGGTGTGGGGTCGTCTGGGGCTGCTGTGCTGGGAGGTGGCCACTGTGGCCGGAAATGAAATAGGGCTTGGCCAGCCCAGGGCTGGAGTTGAAGCTGAATGAAGAAGTGGTTGAAATATGGTATTAACAGGAAAAAAAAATAAAAATCTCTGTCCTGGCTTTGTTGATACGTGAGTGCCAGGGAGATGAAACCTGAAATGCTGCCTGGAGCAGGAGACAGCCATGTCCTTCCAACAGTAGGCTGAGTTTAGCCCTGTGACCATTGTCCCCTGGGCTGCCTTGTTGAAGCCATAGACTTGGGATGAAGTGCTGTGGCTTTCCTGCTGTCCTTGGCCCTCTGCCTGCATGGATCTGTGCTGTGGGAGGTGGGAGTTGATAAGCCACAGCATTGCAGGACTGGCAAGCATCGTCCATAGTACCCAAATATAAACCCACCTACATGTACTGGAGCCAGCTCTGTAACCTCATGTTGCATCATGTGTATAGTTTTGACGTTTAGCTGTCAGAGCTGCTCCAAGGACTTTCACTGAGACAGTTTCACAAAGTTGAAAATAGATGATTTATTGAAGCGTCAGATATAACAGATTCAGAATTGCCCTTAGCTGCACTAACACTAATGTATGATGATAGTGCTAGGAAAATAAATGGTATCCTGGCTATTCTTCACCAAGAGCTGAAGGCACATTTCTTACCAAGAAGGTGTCCCTGTCTTGGTGGAGGAAGAGGAGCATCGCCTGCCTCTTCTAGCTCTCTAGTCTCCTCTCTCCCTGAGAGATGCTTTTCTCATTATCCTTTATATCCTAACCTTACCTGTTGCCCCTCCTGGGGTGACGCTTAACATGATTTGGGTGGAGACTCAGGTACTATAGTCATATATGTTTAGCATGTCCTTCTTTAAGCTCATATTTAGAGGTGTAAACTTTAATATTAATCTCACAGATAATCGAGCAAAAGGTCCCACTCTGGACATTCTGACCTTCAAGATTCTGTGCTGAAACCATTAATCTGCTTGTTCCTGCAATCTTTAGCCAAAGCAGGACCATCCTGTCACTGCAAGACTCTGTCCTTCAGCTGCTTCTCTCTTCCACTTTGACTTTGTGGATCACCACCCACAAGGTTCACATAAAAGATAAGCGGACACCAGCGTTTTTAACCTCTTATGTACCATTCCCACACCTCAGAGAAGAGCGCAGGTGGAGCGAGGCTCAGTGTTTTACTTATACAGGGTAGCTCATCGCATCCTTTATCATAATTCAAATTCACAGTGATTCTGAAGATCATAATTAAGTGTATTTGCAAGAGGAAGCTGCCTTTCACTTGTCTTTATTAAAGTGGAAAAATATAAGGTGCTCCGATGTTGTTGCTTGGCAATGTGACAGCTGATAGAGGCGTCAGATAGAGTTCTTTTGATTTTTGAAATGTGTTGCTTTTGTGTTTGAGAAGCTGGGTCAGGCTGGTGTTTAAAGAGTTTATGGACACAAAATCGGGAATCTGAGAGAGATACTCAGTTGCTACATAAGCTACACCTGTATTCCAGGGCTTATGAAGTGTACAATTCTGAAAGAGCAATTTGTGGCCCTACCGGAGCTGACTTGCTTTTGGCTTATTAAAAGGAGAAGAGAAAATGGTGAGAGACAACAGATACAGAAAAGCCCAGGTCATACCAGAGCCATAAGGTTTACTATTTTAATCTGCAGTGAAAGACGAGAAATGAGCATTACTGAAAAATAGGACAAAGGAGTGAAAACATCTGTGCTGTTCTAATTAAATCTCACTTCAACAAATCATGTGTTGTTGCTTGTTCAAACCTCACCTAGCGACAACATTGAAAAACCAGCCCAAATGCAGCCCAGGGTTGATTCTGACTTAATAATTCCCATCTTTTTTTGGGGAGGCAGTGTCTGTGTGAGGGCAAGTTTCCCCCCTGAAGTGCACTAATTCTTCTCCACGTTGCTCACATTTTACATTACAGCAATAGGACTCACTTGCTCACCCATAAGGGTTTCTAGTGCTGTAACTGTTGAGCACTTGTAGGAGCTCAGGAGTATTTTTACCTTGAGATTCCCATAACATGAAGTGTTCCTGAAGAGCCGATAGTCAGACTCGGTCCTATATAACTCCTTGTAACTGCAGGTGCAAAAACGGGTCAAGAAATCTTGGTCTCTTGAAAACTTGGCCTGTGAAATATAATGGCCACTGGATAAGCTTCATGTCTGAGGCTCTGGGATAGGAACGATACGTGACTGGTTTTAGGAATGTAACACTAGACAGCTGTGGAGGTACTTCAATACTGCTTTCTGTTTTCTGACTGAAAAGAAAAATGATACAAATGCTGAATCTATTCAGGCTACTAATCTGGAAGCCACTTTTTCACCTGTCTGTCATCTCTCCCCTTCAGATGCCTGAAACCAGACCTTTGCTTGCGGGATTCCTTATTCCATGGCACTGCCTAAGCCCCTGTAAGGCTGCTTGCAGCTCCTTACTGCATTCTGTCCTTGATGTATTTTTCCCCTATGACCTGCCCGTATCTCTTAGCAAACTGCTTGCTATATCAGCCTAATTTCAATTCCTAGCAGCATTTTTCTTCTTTACAAGCAAATTGACCCTGTCTTGTAATGTTAGAAGCATGTTCTCCTTTATCACATTTACAAACCTGTTTTTTTAAAAATATTTTTATTTCCTATCTTCTTCCTTCACTGTTTGGTTTTATATTTACCTGTTTGCACCATGCTGAAACAGCACTCTTTCTGTTTTGGGTATTGCATAAAATAGCTCAGTATTGTCTCAGCAGCCATCTATGTATCAGGTGTTGCTTGGATAGTCTGAGGGGATATGTGAAGATGGAACGAGGCCCTGGAGGTGTCAGCACCTCTCTTAAAATGTTCCTTTCTGGTTGAGGTTGAGATGCATGACCAGGATTGAAAGGAAAAGTGGTGCTACTGAGTAGGATGCGGAAAAAAGAATTAATCTTAGAAATTGCAAGCTAGTTCCTGTTGTTCCTGTGAGCGAAGATCGCAGAGCTGGCATTTCTGCACTTGTAAGAAACAGTAGTTTATTTTGTGTGTAGCAAAGATCTGGCTACACATGCCTGAATCGGGAATGAGTCAATCAGTGTCACTGACGCAGTATATAACTGGTCTGGTGCTATGAGATAACCTTTTACTCATGTTATCTCTCAGTTAACATCAGCAGGACCTGCAGGCAGTGACAAAAGCAGACCTGGACAGAGGGGAGCACCACGCTCGCTGGAGCTGAGGGGTTGCTGTGTGTGCTGTCGTGCTCCCCTCGGTGTGGGATTTGGCGCTCGAGTGCGCATCCAGACAGATGGCTTTCGGAGCACTTTGTAAACATCAGTTCAGTAGTCTTGTATTTACGGTCTAAGAACTGACAAGCTTTCACACATACGGTTCCCTCAGAAAGGCTCTATGTCGACTCTAACCTGTGGAAGGCTGTTCTGGCATTTTTTTCTTTAATCCAGCCCACAGGCATTCATAAAATGCCAGTGAGGGAGGGGGAGCTGAAATAAGAACATTTCCAAGTTGTGAAGCAAAATCAGCTTAACTTAAAGAAATGAGGTGAGGAAGTGGGGGGGAAATCTGTCTTTGTGTGTATAGTACAGACTCGGTGTGGCTGTGCTATGCTTATTTCTTATCAGGAATCTGTGAAAGCTGTATAAACTACTGTGTCTGATCTCAGACTGCTGATAGCCCTGAATTCCTGGGGAGTAATTGATTCAGCACTTCTCATTAGTATGCTGCTCATTTTAGCATGAGGCCTAATTGTGTTTACTTCCACAAAGCTGCATCAACACAAAAAAGCTTGTTTATTATTTTTGAGGAAGATGGGGGATTGCAGTGAATTGTTCTAAGGGGATTTTGTATGAAACGGTGGTGTTTTAGCATCTCATGAGATTGGTGAGAGATGCTGCACAAACTTGAAATTAATCAGTTGCTACACTTTGGTGTGGACTTCTGCACACTGCAACCAAAACTAGACTTATAGGAGCCCAAAAACAAATTGCAATGTTTGGGGGATTTGCTGTTCTGAGACTGATTCTCTTATCACTGACACTAAGGTTTCATCCTACCAGAAGGCTTTGATGTTCTATCTTACTTTCTTCATCTTAGCTTTAAGATGAAATAAAACTGTGGGCAAATAAGAGCTGGACATTTTGTGAGATAAGCCTTAGTGCTAGTGCAATGTGTCCTCACACACTTTCATAGCCACTCAAAGCAATTTATCCATGTTTCTCTGGGGGTGGAGAAATTCCGTCTGGCTTTCTTTTTTCTTTTTTTGTTTTCAGGCTCTTCATCTCAGAAGTTATCATATGAGGGAATAATCAACATATACATTTTTAAAACAGGGCAATTTTTTTTTTTTTTTGCCTTCTATAGTTTGCATATTCTTAATTGGCTAGAATATGAGTTTGTTGAATTTGTTAAAGACTTAGTGTGTATGAGGCCACAAGCAAAAAGGTTTGCTAACTGATTCTTGCAACATGAGAGATCCAGAAGTGTTTCTTTCCTTCACAGCAAAGATTACATCTCTTCCCAAGATAAAGCATCTCTTCCCAGCATAGCTTTTTTTACTTCCTTCTGTATATTTTCCTAAAGGCACCTGAAGCACACCCTAGGTTTTTGTATTTTAGCATTGCATTTTACAGAAGCGTTGAATAGCTCCAGCAAAAACCCCAAGCCCCTTTGGTCAAAAGTCTTCATGGACACTATGAATATTTTTTT